TTACACTGGTACGCTGGGCATACTAGGCATTCATGGAGTACGCTGGACGTATGAAATTAGTGCCCAAACCTTATTTTCGTGGTTTGATCCCTATTTAAGCTCCTTAACTTCCCAAAACCCATTCCATTCTCAACCTCCGCCTCTGCAACACCATCCCTTAAAACCCTAACTCTAGTTTGAGCCTTGTGAGAAAAAAGAAAGTGTTTTTAAGTGCTTTGGAGTGCTCATTGTGCATCTTGAAGGATAAGGAGCTCATTGGAGAAGTGTTGGTTGCATTGGAGCTTGTAGATCCATACTTTGTTCACCTTGATCTTTCTTTTAGAGGTATAAAGTTTGAATCTTTATGATGCATTTGATAGATCTAGCTACTCTTGGGTGTTATGAGCTTTTGGTCACTTTAATGCATAAAGTTTAGATCTTGAAATGTTTGTGACCTTGTTATGGATAAAGTTGGAAACTTTATCCATTTAAGCATCATATTGATTCAGATCTGAAGGTTAGAGACTTGGACTTAATGGATTAAGTTGAAAAATATGAACTTTTGGTCCCTTTGAGACTTAAAGACTAGATCTCGGTTGTTTGGACCATTCTAATGGATAAAGTTAGAAACTTTATCGATTATTGAGTTATTAGGAACCATAAAAATGTGATCTTGGTCCTTCTGTTCCTTCCATGCATGAGTCGGTGGTCTTTTATTGAAGTTAAAGATTTAGCGCTTTGGTTTGGGCGCCATTAAGCCATGCAAATTCATAAAGTCAGGAACTTTATGACTTGGAACGTACCATCAAAATCAGATCTGAAAGTTATGCATGTTTTCTTAAGGCATTAAGAGGTTTGGAGATGATTTTGGGCTTCAGCGTCGTACGTTGGGCGTACCATGTTGGTACGCTGGGCATACGCACCTGAAAGGCTTTTTGGCCATTTTTGGGCCTTGAGTCATTTTGGGTTTTGGGCCTTGCTTTGTTGGGCCAAGTATAGGAAGGGTAAAATATTCTTTTACCCATTGTTATGAGAATATATGAATTGGACCTTGAGATATGGAAACTTGTCCTAACTATTAATTAAGGATAATTTGGATGTGTTCAGTGTGAGGAACCCAGTGGCAGTAACATGTGTGTGTTTCAGTTATATCGGATTGAGGTGAGTCTCCTCACTGTGCTTGTGGGTCGAAGGCAATAGTGTCGACTCACTAGATTATGTTGTAGGATAGTAGTGGTCTTTGTGACACTTACTGGTATGCTTGTATGTGCTTGTTGTCTTTGTGACTCATGCTGATATGAATGTATGTTTTATGTATGTGAGGGTTGGTACGGACCCGACACAACTACGTGTTGTTATATAGAGTCATTATGGACTCGGGGTTGATATGGACCTGACACAACTACTTGCTGTCATATGGGGTTGATACGGACCCAACACAGCTACATGCTATCATATAGGGTTGATACGGACCTCACACGGCCACGTGTTATTTTATGTACAAATGTATTGTATGTGGCATTTTGGGGAAACTCACTAAGCTTTGTGCTTACGGTTTTTGTTTATGGTTTCAGGTACTTTGTTTTCAAAAGGAAGGGTCCGACTTGATCGCACTGCATCCCCTGGAGTTTATTTCTGCACTGAATGTTTACAAATTACTCTAAATTTTGAGAACACTTTGACTCTGATCGTCTTTTGGAACAATGAATGAATGGCTTTAACTTATAAAAAAATGAAATTTTTACTCGGTATTTTTGGGACGTTTCAGTAACAATAATCTATGGGTCGGTATTGGTGCCTTTGACCCGCCAAACACAGTAAGGAGACTCACCTTAAACTACAAATAACCAAATCACATGCGTTGCTGCTAACGAGCTCCTTACACTAAACACATCCAAAATATCCCTAATCATAATTAAGGCAATTCCCCATAATCCAATGTCCAATTCATATCTTCTTATACCAATGGGTAAAAGACCATTTTACCTTTCCCATTCCGACCCAACAACCCATGACCCAAAGCCCAAAATACCCATGGCTCAAAAAGGCCCATTAAGGCACCTTGGTGCGTACCCACGTGTACCACCTCAGTAAGCCCGACGTACAGTGCATAAGCCCAAACTCCATTTTTTGTTCTTAATTCCTTAAGACAAAACGTCAATCTTCTAGATCTGATTCTTTTGGGATGTCCTAAGTCCTAAAGTTCATCAATTTATGACTTTGCATGGCTTAATAGTGCCCAAACCAAAGCCCTAAATCTCTAACTTCGACAAAAGTCCACCAATTCATGCATGGAAGGAATAGAAGGACCAAGATCACATTTTTATGGTTCCTAATAACTCCATAATGGATAAAGTTTCCCAACTTTATCCATTAGAATGGTCCAAACAACCAAGATCTAGTCTTTAGGTCTCAAAGGGACCAAAAGTGCATCCTTTTCAACTTAATCCATTAAGTCCAAGTCTCCAACCTTTAGATCTGAATCAATATGATGTTTAGATGGATAAAGTTTCCAACTTTATCCATAACAACGTCACAAACTTTCAAGATCTAAAATTTATGCACTAAAGTGACCAAAAGCTAATAACACCGAAGACTAGCTAGATCTATCAAATGCATCATCAAGATTCCAGCTTTTTACTTCCAGAAGAAAGATCAAGGTGAACAAGGCCTGGATCTACAAGCTCTAAGACAACCAACACTTCTCCAAAGAGTTCTTCTTCTTCCAAATGCACCGAAAACCCACCAAAATCACTCAAAGGCTCAATAATCTTCCAAATGAGGCTAGGGTTTCGAGGAAATAGCTTAAGAGGGTGGAGGTTGGAGGTAAGGAGGGTTGGATATGAGTTAAGGACTATAAATAGGGTCTAAGACCCGAAATTAGGGTTTGATTCTGGGTCGCGTACGCCCAACGTACACGAAGGAACGTTCGCGATCACTTCAGCCAAGTACGCCCAACGTACATCCCTTGTACGCCCAACATACTCGACAAGCATTTAACCATTCTAACTTCCGAAGGACATAACTTCTTTGTTTCAACTCCGACTCCGACGATCTTTATATCCATGGGAGGATATTGAAGAGCTCTACAACCCTATCTAATTACTTTTGACTTAAAACACCTCGAACTAAAATCCTTAATTCATGAAAGGCCCGAACCATCACTTTTACCATTATACCCTTGGGCTCCAAAAACAAAACCTGAACTCTTGGATCACATAATCTACATTAACATCATCCAAATGGGTCTAAACCTCTCTTTCCCCAAAGCCCGAAGCCTTATGATAATTGATCTTCGGGTCACGGCCTCGAACTATGGAACGATTCCAAACAGGGTGTTACACGATATTGAGGGGTTTAATTGAGACTTATAGTAAAGGGTTGAAGATATAAAGAGATGTATTTAAATGATCACAACTTGCATTTATTCACCTAAACCTTCACATAATTAGGGCACCAGCCACACCCACCTCTGTTGGATCTCTTGTGCCCATATTGATGGGTCTGGCCATGGTGAGAGAATGACGTCGAGCATACACGGGGGCAAATCGTAATCTTCGTCTTCTTGAGCTTCGTCTGCAACTTCACATATTATTTGGAAGAGAAAAAAATAGGAGAGGTATATGGACAGGGTGTTGGTGGTGTAAATGACAAAAGGGGCAGATCGTAATCTTCGTCTGTGTCTATGTGAACCGGTCTTCAACGAATCAAAATTTATTCACAAAATCTGCTTTGTTGAAACGCCAAAAGGTTGTGTGATTTAGCTCTTGAACTTTGGTAAGGCGGTCGCCATTGGTGTAAGATCTTCAGACAAACTATTTCGAATTCTTAACTTGTTCGATCGATATCCCTCGGTATCGATCGATATTGAGTTTTGCTTTCTTTGATGTGTGTGTATGAGAGATAAGAAATAAATAGAGATAGAATAATAGGGCTTATCAACCCATCATTCTCTTTTGATCGAATGAAGGAACAAATAAAGGATAAAGGAAGGAGGAACGAATAAAGGAGAAAGAAAGAGGGAGGCGGTGGGTAGGGCTAAGTGGTGGGCCTATTTTTCTTTTTAAATAACAAAAAACAAAAAACAATAATTAAAAAAATAAGGGCAAAAAAGTAATTTCATATAGACTTAACTAGAAATTTTAACAGAGTTAATAAAAAAGACCATTAGTGGGGCAAATTTAAAACTAAAAGGGTCATTGGCGTGCAAGGTTTGCTCCGTAGGGACAGTTTCTAGGAAAAAAATTTCATAGAAATCATTTTAGGGACAAACGAAAAAGAAAAATGACCATTTATGAAATTTTGTCTTAAATATATAAAACACTTTTATTGAAATTTTAATTCTAAACTTTTTAAGGGTTTAAATATGCTAATTATAAATCGTATGAAAAAGAAAAATAGCTTTGTTTTTGTCCTATACTTAAACATGAAAAGTATAAATTATCTTCCATCCGTCCCATATTAATAGTACATGTTTCATTTTTGGTTTAACCCAAAATAATAACGTACTTCTAAAAATAAATATATTTTTTTATCAAAATATCTCTCATAATTAGTTAACTTATCATGGAATTAAATGCAACAAAATGATAAAATTAAATAGTATAATTATCATTTCATTTAATAAAGTTAATAATAATTAATGTTTTTTTAATCTGTATGTTTTTTTTTTGTGGACAATAATTTTGAAACGGAAAAAGTATTTAATAAAATAGACTAGACACATTTACAAACCCTCAAAAAAAATTTACGGGTTTGAAAAAAAATTCTTATAAACAAAAAAGAGAATCTTATAAATTAAGGTGTATCCCACTATATGGCAAAACCTTAAATCAAAATGATGCCGTATTTTATTAATATTATAATAGTCTAAATAAAAAATAAATATATTTTACATATAATGTAAAATTTGAAAAATTAACATAAGTTTAAGGGGAGGCACTTTAGGTTCCCAAAATGTTTACTCTGTAAACTTTTCCCGGCAACACTAACCACTGCTACCGCCGCCGCTTCACGGAGAAATGACAAGAGTGCCACGGCCACCGCCGCTTAACATATTCTTCTCCTTTCTTTTTATCGTAGCAGTCGAGTTTTCTTGTGCGAATTCACAACAGTTCTTGACATCCGAGCGATCCACATTGCTTAGCCTCAAGCAACAGTGGGGGAATCCGCCATCACTGAATACCTGGAACGCCACTTCATCTCCGTGTAACTGGCCAGGAGTTCTCTGCAACTCCAACAGCTCGGTTATTATTCTTGTTCTTCAGAGCAAAGGGTTAATCGGACGTATACCGCCATTCATCTGTGACCACCTACGGAATCTGGAGAATTTGGATCTCACTAATAATTTCCTCACCGGAGAGTTCCCTAGGGTTTTGTATAATTGTTCGAAGCTAGTTGAAATTGATATCGCATACAACGGTTTTGTTGGAAGGTTGCCGGATGACATCGACCGATTATCATCACGACTCAAAACCATTGATATCGGAGGTAATAACTTCACCGGCGATATACCTCCAGCAATCGGCAATTTGTCAGCGTTAATTTCCTTGTACATGTATGGGAACTTGCTAAATGGCTCTATCCCACCAGAGATTGGAAACTTATCTAATCTCTTAACTTTAAATTTGGCATATAACAGATTTACAGCGGCGGAAATACCATCGGAGTTTGGGAAGTTGAGCAATTTGACATATTTATTAATGCATCAAAGTAATCTGATTGGAAAAATTCCAGAAAGTTTGGCGAATTTGTCGAGTCTCGAATGTTTGGATTTTAGTTCCAACAGTTTGGAAGATGAAATCCCTTCCGGTTTGTTTCTGTTAAAGAATTTGAGAATTTTGTTCTTGTATTTTAACGCTTTATCCGGCAAAATTCCGGCCATGATAGAGTCTTTAAATTTGACTGAAATCGATCTCTCTGAAAACAAATTGAACGGTTCAATTCCTGATGATTTTGGCAAATTGCAGCAGCTGGAGGTGTTGAGTTTGTTCTTAAATCAATTATCAGGCAATATTCCGGCGGGTATTTCTCAAATTCCAACACTGAGAATTTTCAAAGTCTTCAGCAACAATCTCAATGGCGAATTACCTTCGGAAATTGGGCTTCACTCAAAGCTCGAAGCTTTTGATGTAGCGGGGAACAAACTCACCGGAAAGCTGCCTGAGAATTTATGCGGTGGAGGTACTTTGTTCACCATGGTTGCTTTCGCCAACAATCTCACCGGAGAAATCCCGAATTCACTCCAGAGTTGTGAAAAGCTTCGTTCAGTCCAACTCTATAACAACAGTTTCACGGGTGAACTTCCTCCAGGAATTTGGACATTATCCAATCTTTCAAGCTTGAGGCTCACTGGGAACTTTCTTTCTGGCGAATTACCGATTACAGTACCATGGAATTTATCAAGACTGGAGATCAGTGACAACAAGTTTTCAGGTCAAATTCCGGAAGGCATTTCTTCTTGGACGAAACTGAATGTGTTCAAGGCTAGTAACAACATGTTTACAGGTGAAATTCCGGCGACATTCACTCATCTTTCACAGTTGTCGGTGCTTCAACTTGATGGGAATTCACTTTCTGGCCAACTTCCGTCAGAGATCAAGTCGTGGAATTCACTAACCACTTTGCATCTAGCTAGAAACAAACTTTCTGGCCCGATTCCACCAGCCATCAGTTATTTGAAACGTCTTCTTGATCTTGATTTATCTGAGAACCAACTCTCCGGCAAAATTCCACCACAGTTAAGCCGTTTGAGGCTGAACACTTTGAATCTTTCTTCCAACAAACTCACCGGAAGAATCCCATTTACATTTGATAACCTGGCTTTCCAGAATAGTTTCTTGAACAACCCGAATCTATGTGCTTCATCCCAAATCTTAAACCTCCATAAATGTTACACCAAATCCTCCTCACGCCCCTCCAAAATCATCGTCTTGTCAGCATTTATCATACTCGTCACCATTCTTTGCACCTTATTTGTTGTGTTGTTCCGACGGCACCTCAAGCATAAACACATACATGATCTCACGATATGGAATCTGACATCATTTCATATATTGGATTTCACAGAATCTAACATTTTATCCTCCTTGACCGAGAATAACCTAATCGGTAGTGGTGGTTCCGGGAAAGTCTACCAAATTGAAATCGGTCGGCGGCGTGGGGAGTATGTTGCAGCCAAGATGATTTGGAACCCTAAAAAACTCGACGATACCCTCGAGAAAGAGTTTTTATCGGAGATTCATATATTGGGTTCAATTCGTCACTCCAACATAATCAAACTGTTATGTTGTATTTCGAGCGAGGATTCTAAGATTCTTGTTTACGAGTATATGGAGAATCGAAGTCTCGACAAGTGGTTACATGGGAAGAAGAGGAAATCACAAGGTGGTTTGGTTCACCCCACGATCTTGGATTGGCCCAGGAGGTTGCAGATCGCCATTGGAGCGGCTCAGGGGCTGTGCTATATGCATCATCACTGTTCTCCGGCGATCATTCATAGAGATATCAAGTCAAGCAATATTCTGTTAGATTCCGATTTCAAAGCGAAGATAGCCGATTTTGGACTCGCAAAGATTTTGACGAGTCAAACCAACACCATGTCTGCTATAGCTGGCTCATTTGGTTACATTCCCCCTGGTAAGAACACTTTGATTTTAAAAGTCAAACCTAAATAACAAGATCTCTTAAGTCAAACTTTTTAAACTAAAGTCAAGCCCTAATTTTACAAATTGATTGCAGAGTATGCTTACTCAAGTAAGGTAAATGAGAGGGTAGATGTATATAGCTTCGGTGTGGTGCTATTAGAACTGGTAACTGGAAAAGAAGCACATGAAGGAGATGAGGATATGAATCTAGCAGAATGGGCATGTAGGAATTACAGTGAAGGGAAGTACGTGGTTGAAGCTTTGGACCCAGAAATTAAGCAGGATGATAGTTACATGGAAGAAATCAGGATAGTGTTCAAACTAGGGCTTATTTGTACAAACACATTGCCTTCGAGTCGGCCACAAATGAAAGAAGTACTTGGGATTCTTCTGAAACTTAATCTCATAAGTAGGAATAAGGTGTTAAAGGAAGGCACTGATATCTTCGATGACAAAAGTGTAAAGGGTTGCTAATGATAGTAAGTTTTATGTTATTATATGCTTCTTCAGGTTAAATATGTTGATGTTTTGTGTGATTAGTGATAGATAGAACCAAAGATCTATTTTTGGTTAGATTGGCTTAGGTCTGACAATCGTGTCGTGTTCGGGTTGGCAGATCATGGGTTGGCGGGTCAAAATATACCAATCCGAACACAACCCATTTAACTATATATGTCACGAGTTGGCGGGTCACAGGTTGGCGGATTTGGAACATAAACTCATATATGATCCATCAACCCACTTATTTATACGGGTTCACAGGTTGACGAATTCGTAGGTCAGATTTGTGTTCGTTGGTCAAACTCCATAAATAAAATTGATAATTAAACTTTGAATAAATTATTGATGCAAATAAATCTAGATTTTAGAAACTTAAGTCTTAAACATCCAAATATAAAAATGTATAATTATCATTAAAAATAACTCACTAAACGTCAACTTAAAGTTTATTAGAACTCGTACCCTCTGTTTTGTCTTCGGCAATGTTCATATCCATGACGCTTGAGTTAGTTTATCAATATCAATATGGGTATCAACTGGATAAAGAAGATAAAAAAAATCAATAAAAAATAATAGTTAATATCAGTAAACAATAAATTATAAAATACTATCTTTTTCTCCAAACAACCAATCCATACTCCAAATTAAAGCTTCAACAATGTCAGGCTTCATGAAACTTCGATATTCATTCAAAACTCTTCCATCGAGACTAAATGTCGATTCAGATGCTACTGTTGAAACGGGAACACAAAGTACATCCATAGTTAATTTAGCTAATTCTGGATACTGTTGGGATTGCAAAAACTCAAGCATGTTAACCAAATGTCAAATGGTCAATGGTATCGGGTATCATGTCCTCTAGTATAAAGTATAAACTGTATAGTGTATAATACTTAATATATTTAAAAAATATATAATTTTTATTATTAAAATTCTAAACGGGTTGGCGGGTTGAAAAACTCAACCCAAACTCATTTATTTCGTGTCGTGTCGAGAATTGTCATGCCTAGATTGGCTGCGGTGTGTGTATATTTAAGAGTGTAGTAATATGATATTTTTTATTTTTATTTTTTTAGAGTTGTTCACAAAAATATCATATTATAGTATTATCTATTTACGTATTTTTTTTTTTTATCTTTAACGAGAAATTGATCATCATTCTCATGGTTATAAGCCCATGAATATGCACAAATCATTTTCTAATAAAAAAACATCTGTTTAACTTTTATGATATTCATTCATTTCATGGACAAACTTTAGTCTAATATGTGACGGATGACTGTGAGTTAAACCCGCAAATTTGCGATATGACTACTTATGTTAACCACAGAGTCAATTTCAGAGATATATGTTTTATCTTTTCACAACAAATATGCTCCTAGAAATAGCCAATGATGAAGACAATAATACTCTCGATATATGCTAGTAGACTGTTTAAAACCTCTAAACTTTCATCTATATAGACACTGACGAATATTATCTCTATTCTCAAAATTTTCGAAAATGGACTGCAATAGAATCACAAAATGGACCGCAATTAGAGAAAATTGTGTTTTGAATAGAATCACAAAAATTAGAGAAAATTGTGTGTTGTCATTAAAATAAAATCACAAAATGGACCGCAGTTAGAGAAAATCGTGTTCAGGTCATTAACATAGAATCACAAAAATTTCGAAAAAAGACTACACTTAGAGAAAATCGCGTTTTGAATGCTTAAATAGTGGAATTTGGAGTGAGGGGTGGGTCACATATATATCATACACCTCCAAATTTTTTACGGATCATAAGTTACGAGCAATTTATGTTGGACTTTTTGGCCTTGTTCCCATTTGCGATAAAGGCTTCTACAAGATCATCTATATGCTCCACATCACACTTTTTATTCATCTTCTCCATATTCTCCACATCACACTTTTTATTCATCTTCTCCATATTCGAGTTAAGGTTTAGAAAAAACTCTAATTACGAAAACCAATCATTTTAGGATTGTTAGATGGAAGTTTCAAACAAGTTTTGAGTATTAGGATGCTAATCTACTTCCACTTATTTTATTCATAACTTGATTTTAAGCATAAATCATAACTTGATTTTAAGCATAAATGAGACATAGCCTCAAAGCTCTAACAATGGTCGAATCCAAAATTAAACTTGTTTTCATGAAATCAATAATGTTTTCAACCTTATTTTAATGTGTATAATCTATATTTAAGCTAAGGAGTCCACCATTGTTTGATGATTACACTTATAGATTTGATTTGAGGATTTCATTTTGACTTAGTACATCAATGGTGATTCAAGCTCTACTATGACTCATTTTAACTTCCGATCGATTAAACTTTATGGAAATGTCATCAGTTTGATGCACTAAGTCAAAAATTGAATCTTAATTGCTGATGATATAGGTTTATAAAAAGATTGATGAAAAATTGGATATTGTATAATTTTCAAAACTAAACCAAGCTTTGAATGTTTAAATTATTGGACCATCAGTTTTAAGTCATGGATTCATGTGTAATTGAGCTTCAAAGGTCTAATAACATGTTCGGGATATTATCAATGATTATTAAGACAAGTAGAATCAACACAGTGATCATTTTTATAATTTTGTATATAAAAACTTGATAAAATCGTTGACATGTATGTCTAAATAAAATTTTACAAACTAATTTATAGACTATTGTTTGACTTATGAAACATTAACCTAGAAAAGTTTAAAAATAAATTAACTCACAAGCTAGAGACATGTCAAATATAGTGTGAGTAAAATTTTCAATAAAAACTTTTTCTTTGATTCAATAACTATTTTTAATCAACTATTTTTTATATGTTTCATTTATGTACTTTAAAATATAGATTATTAATAACAAATAACACATAAATAATAAACAATTCAATTAAATAATCAACACCCATCCTTAAATAACATGTTGTTCTTGTTTCACAAATTATAATTAGTTGACTTTAAATACTCATATATTAAAGAAAACAATGAGTTATCTTAAGTCTTATATTAATAGTCTCATAGTCCATTACTAGTTTCCTTTTTTAGCTTGGTCGTTTTCTAGTTAATTTGCAAAGTTAAACCCCCTACTTATTAATGTAACACTAGGTTTTGGATTTGCTTCATTATTCGGGGTTGCGACCCAATCTTCAGTTGTCCTGAAGCTTAGGGCCTTGGGGAAGAAAGGTTTTGGTCTTTTTGGATGTGGGTATTATGGTTTAAGTGATCCAAGTGTTCGATGGTGCCTTCTGTCACATCCCCAAACCAGAACGGCGGAAACGTTCGGGGGCGGAGGACGTCATGTACAATATCATAACAATTGAATAGTAAAGAAAGTACACACCACCATAATATATATTTGAAAAGTGTACATGATTGTTGTATTACATGATTCAAAAGTCAAATATAATATGATGTTACAAAAGATATTACTAACGCCGGAGCATTAGTCCCCAAAAACAATTGCTAACCTGGTTTAGCGATTTCCTGAGAATACAAGTTATTTCAAAGAAAAAGTGTCAACAATTAAGTTGGTGAGTTCATAAGTATATATTTGTATGCCATTCGAAAGTTTCGTGTTTGTTTTCCAGAAAATCCGATATTTTCTCATAAAAGGAGTTATGAATCTTTGTTTGTATAATATGGATGTATTGAACCAGGAAAAACCTATATTTTCCTAACAGTGGAGAGTTGTCTCAAATGTCCAAGACTATGATTTTGTAAGTAAATATGTCATACTTAGAATAATGATCCATAGTTTTATTAGTAAACAAAATTATAAGAATTTTGTAATTTCACACAGGAAAAACCTATATTTTCCTAATAGTGGAGAGTAGTCTCAAATGTCCAAGACTATGATTTTGTAAGTAAATATGTCATACTTAAAATAATGATGCATAGTTTTATTAGTAAGCAAAACTATAAGAAGTTTGTAATTTGGCGTAAAAGTAATTGTAATATTACTTTCCCCGCAAAAACATAAATACCATAATAATTGTCTATCCTGTGAGTTTTCATAACCGTACTATGATGGGTTTGCCTGCGGCGACGTTCTTCAGGCGTCGAAGCGATATGATATTTGTCACCCCGCGGATTATAGCTAACAGTCAGGGCGCGGGATCATCAGTCCCGTATAGATCTATACACACGTATCACGTTCTCACAACAGAGACTCTAGTTATAAAACAGGGCTTTCTAGTGGTACCTTGACAGGTATGGTGAAGACGATTGACTCACATATTCTCAATTAAGTCATGTATTTGGAAAGATATATGAATGATTTCTGAAATGATTACCCTATCTACAGTGTTAACATAGGCATAATAATGAGTTGCATTTTCTTATATAAACATGATGTTATAGTTGAAATGGTTACTCTTGGTATGATGTAGTATGCAGATATATAAATAAAACATATTTCTATTTATAAAACATATTGTACCCCATGAGGGTAAAGTTGCGATGTATGATGTTTTGCATGATAATAATTTCATAAGATAGTTAAAACAACAGTATGAAAAGTATAGCAAAAGATTTGTGTTTCACACGAGTTTAACCGTATGTTTACTTGTATCCCCCCCCCCCTTAAAAGCGTTTAAAAGCATTTGAAAACTTAGTGATAGGGGTATGAACTCACTTGGTTGAAGTGGTAGCTTGGAGAAGGTGAGACAAAGATCGAGCAGAACTTCGACTGGAGAAAGCTGATTTCTCGGGATTCTCGGGAATCTCGGGAATCTCGGGAGCGTAACACTTACTTCGAGACTTGGACGTGCAAACTGGGATGGCTTCGAGGGGTAAACGCAGAGCATAAGCACGAGGAAGAGAGGAATTGAGTATTAAACCCGGAACCCCTTGGGTTCTATTTATAGGCTGAAATTGGGGTCTCACGTCGTGAGTTTTGCTAATTCACGTCGTGAGTTTGTCCCGATTCGCTCATGGCATGCGTCATTGTCAATTGGCTCTGAAATGGTCA